CAAGGGAAATCTCAGTAAGGGCCTCAAGAAAAGAACAAAAAGTTGAATGCCCATCTGAAAAGCCTAGATTAATCACACGATTTACCGCCATTGTAGCTGGAATGGTTGGAGGTGGACAAATCAGAAAGACGAGCAAGAAATTATACAAAAGATGAGAGAATACAAAGATAAGAGAAGGAGAAAACTTCCCTGAAGCTGATAGCGTAGGAAGGTCATGACGACCAGAGGCACATCGAGGAGGGCAAAACCCTAGTAGAGCTTAACTTGTGCTGGTTAAAGATCTTCATTCCTAATTATATTTACATGTTATTTCAATGCCTTTACTCAAGGAAGGGCATCAAATCAACGATAAACACTAGTGGAATTATTTTAACTAGGCCAGGCCTAATGGTTTTTACCTTTTTTAGATTTTTTGCATACAAAATTATAGTGTCTTATGATTGTTACATCCCTCTCTCTCATATGTGTATGTGCTTGATATTTGTACGAAACAAGGACGCTAAACTCTATATTTCTTTACCACTGCAAATGTTTCGGCACACGACACTTTAAAAATTCTCAAAATACCTTAACAAAAAGGTAAATTTTTTTCTATAAATGATAATAGAGAATTATACCGATGAAATGAAAGAAATAAAAGTAAAATGTTTATTAGTTAATTGTTAAAAATGTGAATTATATTTAATATAATAAAATATTTTCATAAGATCCAACTTCACACAAGAAAAATTTAAACTAACCTTTTTTGTTAACATTTTTGAGAATTTTAAAACCATGTATAATATTGCCAGATTTCTCTACCCTTAGGAAATATAGTTCCAGCTTATGAAATATTATACTAATTTTATTAATAAGAAGCTTGGAGATGAAGACCTTATATAAGACATTAGAAAGTTAAATAATTTTATAACTATAGACTTTAACTTTGGGAGGATATTCGTATTAAGGTGATGTCTCTCACATCTTTGGTTCTCTTTGGCATAAGACGATTCCTCTATCCTATTCTTTGATTACCTGGAGATGCCTTAAAGGCTATTTGCCCGTGGATACCAATCTGTATAAGAAAGGTTTTTATTTTTCCTCTAAATGTCAATGTTGTCTTAATATTGAAAGTACTCAACATGTTTTTGTTAGTAGTAGTATTGCTCAAATGGTTTGGTGCCACTTTTTTAACCTTGCTGGTTTGGATAACTTCAGTAATCAATATTTATTGCCAGATATTCTTGAGATCTGGTTTTCTAAAGGTAAAGGCCATATTAATTGCTTAATTTCTATTCTGATTATTTGGTACATTTGGAAAGCTAGAAACTAGTCTAAACATAAAAATATTAGAATCTGGGCTAATCAGATCATTACCAATGTTAGGAACAAAGTTTTGAGTCTTATTGCTGTCAATCTTATTTCTCAAAAGAATTTCAAAAACTGTAATCGTTTGGCTAGTTACTTTGGGGTTGATATCAATGGGGTTAATACCAATATGATGGATCGTATTGTTAAATGGCTGAAACCGGCTCCACCTTATGTTAAGATTAACATTGATGGCTCGGTTGGAAATGCTATTGCTGGCATGGGTGGTCTTATTCACAATGTTGAAGGGAATCCCATTGTTGTTTTTGCTGGTCCTATCTCTACGAATTCTGTGTTAAATGCCGAATTACTGGGGATTTTACAAGGCTTAACTATCTGTCTGAATTTGGGTTTTCAGCATGTGTATTTTGAAGTGGACTCCAAACTTGCTATTCAAGCCATATCTACTACTAATGCTATTTTTCCTAAAGATCTTTATATTATTCGGAAAATTAAAATTTTGCTTTCCAACTTCAATTTTATCATTTCCCATATCTACCGGGAAGGCAATATTTGTGTGGATTGGCTGGCAAATTTTGGCTCTGGCAATGATTTCTACCAAGAATTGCCTATTATTAATCTTCCAGCTCCTCTTAAAGGCATGGTTTTGTTAGATAAAATGGGCCTCCCTTACATCCGTCATGAGTGATTTTGCTTGGTGTGTTTTAGTGGTTAATAATGTCTGCTTGGTCATGATGTTCTGTTTTTTTCCTGGTTTTTGTTTCTTCTTTCGTCTGTGTTTCAATTTTCTGGGAAGGCTCTTTTCTCTGTTGCCATGAATTGTTATATTTTCTGTTTCATGTGTTTCAGATCTAAGTTTCTTATCCATGTTTATTTTGGTTACCTGTATGATTTTATTTTTATGATGTTGAATTATTCCTGTGACAATGTTTGGTTCTGTCTGAGCAGTGGGAATTATCTTTCCAGTTTTGAATTTAATGTCCAGTTTAAGATTATTTGCAGGTCTGTTAGTTGGAGTTTCTGATATATTTTCTATGCTGGTTGTAGTAATCTAGGTGGGATTTATGGTTTCTTTTTTGGCCTGAATCTGCACTGGCTGGGCTATTTTAAGGGGAAGAATTTAGGTGGGTTGTCCTGTTTCAGGATGATCCCTATTCATGACAATAGTAAGTCGGATTGGGTTTTCAATGGGGTTATCTGTTTTCTCCAGGGCTATCTTTGGTTGTCTAATGCTGTTATGAACTCTTGGCCTTATAGGGATAACATTGGAAACCTTACCTCTATTATCTACTTTATTTCTCTTACTTTTTTTTTGGAGAATTCCTTGCAGGCATCAAAATAATCTTCGTGTTACGAGCTTCAATGATCCAAGGTATTCTCTCGTTCAAATTCGAATTGCTATTTCTGTTATCTTCAGTTTTTTTGCAGGAAGATTGAGCTGAAAAGGACTATTCTGCTCTTCCTTTTTTGGGTGTTGTTTTCTCATAGCCCGAGCTTCTGCTATGTTTCTTTTTGTACTCGTAGAAAAAGGATCCACCGGCTCATAGGTTTTTTGTTTTCCTTGTTAATTATAGCTCTTTTGAGTATTAGAGAGCTGGAGGAACCATTTAAGGACTCTGTAATCGTTTTTTGTGATATTAACGCGTAGGCCCCTATAGAGGGTTTTAACCAAAAAAATGTTTATCAAATCAATATAATGGCATCATGCTTTAATATATTCAATTTTTTTAGGATTTAAAGAAAATGAATACCTTTAAGGGATGTTTGGTTGGCTAAAAATAGAATATTTTGAAATTGTTTAGATAAGTTTAAAGTAAATGCAAGTGAATATTTTTTAAAAAGTAAATATAGTGTGTAAAGTCTCAATGGTGGTCATTGGTGATGGCCGGTGGTAGGCGGTTGGTGACGGTGGTCAACAGCGGCGGCGACGGCAAATGGTGGTTGGTGGCAACGATTGTCAGTGGTTGGTGGTTGGCGTATGGTGGCGAAAACCGATGTTGGTTAGTGGCTGGCGGCGGGTAGCGATGGTAGTGGGTGGTAATGGCCAGTGGCAGTGGTCAAGCAAGTTGTGTTGTAAATGGTTCTCGCTCAAAATTAGGTAAGTTTAGCTTACCTAAAAAATGAACTAAAATAATTTACACTAGATTTATTTTACTTTGCATTCTTTTTTCTTCCAACGAAACATCGATATTTTAAAAACTCTTGCATTTTGAATAATTCACAATCATTTTACTTCCAATCAAACAACCCATTCATGAATGAACTATCAAAAGTGTAAACCCTAAACTTTTTAACACATAAGTGATTGCATCGTAGCCCCATACATGGCATGATGTTAACAACATCGTGATCAAATCTTGGAGTTCTTGAGTGTAATGATCTCTTCTACCCTAGTTAGATTATTACATGTAATAACCTGATAAAGTCTTGATATGAAATCTGAATATTATTTAAAATTTTAAAAAAGTTTCATACATATATAATTTCTCCTTGGGAGTGTTTTTCTTATATATATAATTAATGAAAAAAGTTCAAGGTGAGTTTTTTTATAAATTAAATCAAATTTAAAATAAATATTATAAAAATCAAATATTTATTCATCTTAAAATAAAATTTTTGTATAAAAAAATAGTTTTATCTATTGATTAAGAATTTTGGCTACTAATCTATTATATGACTTTGTTTGGGACGATTTTTTTATTCTCAATCGTGAAGATGCAAAATTTATTAAAAATATATTTAATAATTATTTAGATAATATAATATTTCTAATAATATAATTAATTCAGAACATATATTAGTGGTGGAGTCGTGAATTTTTTTTTGTGTGAGGTTATATAAATTAATTAAATTTCTTAGAAGAACATCAAATGAATATTTATTATGGGAAATATCAAATAGTTGGTGTGTATTAATGTATATCTTTTATTTATAAAATTATATTTAAATTTTAGTGAATATGTATCAAAAAGGCAAACTCTCATGAATATATGCTGTCCTAATCTCTTACTAATCTTTTAGGAGCAGAGTATGATTTGAATTGATCTGTTTGAAACCATTCTCTCATTTTCTATACTAAGGCTTCGTTTGAGATCGCTTTCTTGCTACTTCTTAAAACAACTTTTTAATTTTTAATTTTTAAACTGAAAAGCTGTTTTAAGAAGCAATAAGAAAGTCATCCTGAGATAACTTTCTTACTGCTACATAAAGCATCATTTTATTTCAAAAATTTTAATCTTTATATTAAAAAACTGCTTTAAAAAACAATAAGAAAACCGTCCCAAACCAAACATAATTAAGACTTCATTTGGGACGGCTTTTTTATTGCTTTTTAAAACAATTTTTAGTGCAAAAATATTTTTTTTTATTAAAAAAACCACTTTAAAAAATTAATAAGAAAATCATCCCTAACAAAATCTAAACCTCCCATATATATGCAACACTCTTAGAGAATGCTTTAACCCATACAAAACATTAATTAACTTAAATACCACCTTTATTTATATTGAAGTGGTGAATCTTGATGGGATGTCTCATATCATGTATAAAATACAAATTTTTAAATTTAATAAAATTTCTACACTATCAATTATTTGGTACAGTTGAAAATCAATATTAATTTTGAACTCTTCATATAATTTTAAAACTTCATTTATAAAGAATTCATTTTATATTAAATGAACTAATAAAAATAATCCCAAACAAAAGTAAATGGTATTCTCTCCATTATGAATAATACATTTCCAAAAATAAACATTATTTTTTAATAAAGAATTATTTTTTCATAAATTCTAATTTAACAGATGGACTTCTCAGCATACTTCGACAGCATCAAATGGTACAATACATGAGAGCAAAGCATCAAATGTCTGCCATGATCATTGTTTCAAAGGAGCCTTCTTCTCTCTGTCTGATATGCGAGCAGGAGCATTTGAATGAGACTTAAATCGGCCTCTTCCACCTTCTTCCTTCTCCTGAAAGGAATAGATGATCTACTGTAAGTCCTCTTAGGCAAGGAAGAGCAAACATACAAATGCAAAGAAATATGAAAATCCATGGAGCCTGAGAATGTCCCGGTGGGAGCTTTTATTCTGTACGGATATTGCACGGGAGAACCGTCCGGTTAAGCACTGAGTACCTAGCGGTACTCGGTACTGCAGTACCGAGTGCGGGTACCGAGCCGGGTACCCACCAATGAGGTGAAGTGACATATTTTTATTGGTCTCCGGACGCCCTCCGCACTCCGCACAGAATAATAAGACCCTGGTGGAAGCTATGAGCGTTCAATAATGGCGGATTAGTAACATAGAAAGGAAATAATAATGGACAATACCTTCTTCTTTACAATCTGAACAACATCCTCATCATGGAGAGGATGTGAAAGCCCACAGTGCTGTGGGTAGTGCCTTGAACTCAGCCCCCAAACAAGCACATATTTCACATCTTTAACCAAACTGCGGTGAATGTGATTACAGAAATCTTCAACGGTGCAGCCACCTCTGTCCTGGTTGATTTCATTTAAAAAAAAAAAGGGGGCAACAGGGTATTTGAGATGCTGAGGCGTTATAAACAGAAAAAGATAAGAATTGACACAACTTACAGTAGAGAGAACTACAGGATCTGAGAAATCAGGTTGCTGTCCTTGTGGCTTTGTATAAACTCTCACAAGCCCCATTTCCTCCCACATCCTTGCGAGTAATCTGTCTAAATTCAGCTGCAAGGCAATAGTAAACCAGATGTTCTTAGGGCATCTCCAACCGAAAATCTCATTTTTCACTCCAAAATGCCGTGTAAAAAATGCTGTGATTCATCTCCAATCGAACTCCATTTTGCCCCTATTGCGAAGGTAACAGTCATTCTCTTCTTTCACGCGTTTTTTCGGCAAGTTCGGTAGAGACAGAAAAATGGCGAAGATGAACAGTGCAACGCCAATATTGACGTCTCACTGTTCACCCGCAACCAAATAGTAGAAGTTTTACCGTTCGGCTGGAGCTCGCGAGCAACGCCATTCAAGCGTTTGGAATTCGGTTGGAGATGCCCTTAAGAACTTGATCAGAGATAGGCTACCTTCACCTTATTATTTTGTTCTGGTGCACCGTTAAGAAAATCAAAGCAAAACAAGTGCATGCCAAAAGCTGCAACCAGCAGCTTAACTATTTTGACAAATGGAACAACAAAAACGCTCTAAGATATGTTGAGCATAGAGAAGGAGACAGGTCAGTGTGCCCGTGAGAGTGGGGGGTGTCTGTGTCAGAGAGAGATTACCTTCAAATTACAACTGATGACTACGGAATTTGGCTGACGAGCCAGTCCATCTACATCATCTATACCGATGACATCAATCTTGTTATAGACATAAACACACTTCATGTATTTTCGATTACCCTCAATTACATCAATAAGATCATCAACAGAGGCATCTTCACGAAACAGAACCTAGATATAAACAAGTAATAATCAGATCAGACATAATGTAGAACATTCTATACAGAATCCATAATTCCACTAAATGGCAGCAGTTTAACGAAGAAAAACAGCAATCATAATCCTATATGTAGCAAGGAGAGCCCGGCAGTATTATCATATAAGAATCATTTGCGGGAATTAAAATGCGGAAGAAGAATAGAGATGCAAATAGAACTAGTATCATTTTTGATAAATTTGTCATTAAGAATCATATTGAAGGATGCAGCAAAAAAAAAAAAAACTGGAATCTAAAAGGTTGGATGATCAACTATAATAACATCAAGTAGTATATCATGAAGAGCCTAGCAAATCATGACGAATACAACATTGATGCCCATGAAGTATTAAGTCAATTTTACCTAAAGTTATTTTCTAATAGTCAACAATAACAACACCAAGCTTTTTTTCCACTATTTGGGGTCGGCTACATATATTTTTTTTCTCCATTACATCCTATTAAGAGTCAAGTTCTCATGTAAATCTAATAAGAAAAGATCATTTCTAATCTTTATAATCAAGTCTTTTTAGGTCCACCTCTATCTTTCTCAACATAGGTCAAATCTAATACATTTATTGTTCTAACTGGGTCATCAAAAGGCTGATATTTTATGTGACCAAACCGACTAAGGCGACTCTCTCTCTAATATTATCTACCACTATAGATACTCCAACCTTTTTACATATAGTGTAAAGACACTCATCCACCTGAGCATCGTCATCTCCGCAACACTAACTTAATTTTATGCTTCTCTTTTAATGTCTAACATTCTACACCATAAAGCATTGCAGGTCTCACTACCGCTTATAGAATTTTCTCTTAAGTTTTTTGGGTACTTTTCTATCACACAACAGACCCGATGCATTCCTCCACTTCAACCATCCAACTTGAATTCTACTAGTAATATCCCCATATATTTCACCATAATGTTGAACAATAGACCCAGATATCTAAAATGCATACTCTTTTTAATAACTTGATCGCCCAAAGTCACAATCCCCCTCTACTAAATCTCTTATTATTAAAATTACACTCCATGTATTCAGTTTTAAATCTACTCAAACAAAAACCTTTAGACTCTAAGGTTGACTTCCATAGTTCAAGTTTTCCTTTAACACTTACTCTAGTCTTATAAACAAGAATAATATCATCAGCAAAAAGCATAAACCAAAGTACATCCTCTTGTAAATGTCTAATAAGAATATTCATGAACAACAATAACATCAAGCCTTATCCCACTATATGGGTTTGACTACATGAATTATTTTCCTCCATTGTGTCCTGTTAAGAGTCAAATTCTCATTTAAAAATAATAAAAAAGATCATTTCTAATATTTCTAACCAAGTTTTTTAGGTATACCTCTATCTTTCTTAACATAGGACAAATCTAATACATCTACTCTCCTAACTAGGTTATCAGAAAGCCGACGTTTTATGTGACCAAACTATCTGAGGTGACTCTCTTTAATCTTATCAATCATTGGAGCTACCCAAATCTTTTCACACATATACTTCTTTCGCATTATGTCTATAAGAGTGAATCCACTCATTCACTTGAGCATCCTTATCTCTGCAACACTTAACTTAATTTTATGCTTCTCTTTTAATAGCCAACTTTATGTGCCATAACACAGTGCAAGTCCCACCACCACGTACTTCCTATCACACAACAGGCTTGATGTATTCCTCCTTGTTAACCATCCAACTTGAATTCTACTAATAATATCCTCATCTATTTCACCATCACTTTGAACAATAAATCCAAGATATCTCATTTTGAGGCGTTGAGGGACCAAATTGGTCCCTCAAAATAGTTGTGGACCATTTTGGTCCCTCACAAAGAGTTGATGGATCATTTTGGTCCTTTTATCATAACATATAATTAAAATTAAAGGATAACGGGTAAGAATTTTGCATTTATTCATATCAATAATAAAAATAATTTAAAACTAATGATATGATAGAAAAAAAAAATGAAACTTACTACAATCCAAACAAATATTGGAATTAGTTCAGTAGAATTTAGTCCATGCAACACAAATGAACACCAATAAAACTCACTTTAATGAAGCTTTCCTTTGGCAACCCAACTCCAACCACTTTGGACTACTTCCAAACACTTCCATCACAACAAACGGGCTCTTAATGCATTGCGGAATTGAACAATAAATATATAGTTTAATGGTTTTTAGATTATAGAAGTGATGCGTCAACAAAAGATTCTCAAATTAAAGAAATTTAAAAGAAGCATAATATGACAAGAAAATAAAGTACCTCTGCATTGTGTATCTTGTACTCGTGGAGAATCTGGTAGCAAAGCTTTTCATCAACCTGAGTCAATGCGCAAGTACTGTTGAATGAAATGCCTCCCGTCTTTTTCTTTTTGAAATATATCTGTGAAAGAAAAGGGGCATTATCTTCAAACTAAGATCACTAAAAACACTTACAAGTTTATCAAGGAGAGAAGAAATTCAAACAAAATCTGTTTTGGTTATCTTCAGTAAGATATGCAGTTCCAATTTCATGCTTTTGATTTCCACGTGCAACCCCAAGCAAGTTTCAATAACACATCATACAATTAATTTGATTGGTTGAAAAATGTTCCGAACAAGTGAAAATGAGAGAGAAAAACATCAAACGAGAAGCTGAAATATATATGCATTATTCGTTAGTTTCTGTGGTTCTAAAATGAAAATAATAATAATAATAATAAATTGAAATGCAAAATAGATTATTCTATTTTTAGCAAACAAGATTATGTTTTCATTGCCTCTCACCAACACGAGTAGTTTATACCCTAAGCCACCCTAAACCAAGGCAGGCGCAACGCTCACACCATTGTGGAGCATCTTGAGCTCGCTGCGGCTTTGGATGTGAGCCAAAAGCTGGCGTGAGAGCCAATTTGAACAATCAAAGTGGTAGTTATATAATGAAACATAATATTAATTAATAGGAGGAGATTATGTGATATCCAAGAACCACAATAACAATTATAAATAGCTTCAACATCCACATATTGCCTTGAAAATTTACTAACGTGAAGAATATTAGGAAACAAAAAACGATCTCAATCAAAATAATTAAATAAAATAATACTATATCACTTTTACTGCAAAAGAAAATCAATATAAACATAATAGAGAAAATCAATTATACAATATAAAATAAATTAGCCAAGGGCCCAAGGGTTTAGAGCTTGAAATCTATAAATATTTATATATAAATACTTGTCAATAAAAAATTGCCCTTATGATGCCGATACATGTTATTTGAACAAGAGAACCAAAATACTAAAATAGATTCAAAATGCCGATACATGTTTTATTTCTAAACACCCTAAACACTTTTATTCCTAATATGACGATACATGTTTTAGTTGAGATTCTATTGAAGAATTTTTTTTTTTTTTTTTTTTTTTTTTTTAATGGTTTTTACAACAATTATAATTGTGTAGGAAGCATTTATTTTTTATAATATTATATCATAAGTTATTTTTAGTATAAATTACATATTATTACTACTATGATAATTTTGATATATTAGATAATATTAGTAAAATTATTATTAAATCAATAAATTATTATGTGTTATCAATATATTAGTTAAAATTAATAATTAGAAAATTATATATTATTATTTTATATAAACATATTTTTTAAATTAGTTATATAGTGTTCGCTAGATAATTTGATTTATAGTAAAGTTGTTTGCCCATTTTTCTTATGTTATTTATTATTTGTAGGAAGAGATATTAAAAATTAAACATAAAAAATGATACATCAAAACTTTATCTTTGTTTTATAACTTCTAAATTTATTGAGAGGTCGTTTCAACATCCTTAACACTAAAAACATTATTCATCTTATCATGATCCATATCCCAATATGGCCTACAAAAATTCAAACTAGTATTAAGCAAGAAAATGATGCATGAGATTTATCCTATATAAATTAGGCTAGATCAACCAAACCAATTCAATAAATCATAAAAATCCTGATCAACTCGACCTATAAATTATGTTGCCTCTTTTGTTGACTCCACCTCCATTTCCTGTTCATTCTTCGGCTTAGTGAACTCCAGCCATTTTTATGTTGAGCCTAACCAAGGGTTTAGTAGCCAACAAATGTTAACGACAATCGAAAATAAATTGATAGACTGGAGGCTAAGCCGGTGGACCCCACTAGGTTGGACGGAGGGCAAGAAGAGAGGGGGGCTCAAAGGGGAATAATTCCACTTTTAATTACTTACTATAGAAAATCAAAATTGAGAGGGAATTAGGAAAGGTTTATTTAGAGAAAGAGAACTGATTTGAATTCAGATTTGGGAGGGAATTAGGAAAGATTTATTTAAAGAAAAAGGGCTAATTTAAATTCAGATTTGAGATAGGAAGATTTTTATTAAGGTTAATTAAGATGTTTTATTTTCATTTTGTGAATTGTGTTTTGTTGTAGTTTTATTTGGAGTTGTCCCTAACGGCGTCTAGGGTTCATAGAGAGTCAATCTACTTCTCGAATAATTAATCAACTTGTATATTGATTTGTTTTGCCAAAATAAAAAACTTTCTCGTTGATTTCTGCTGTATTTTCTCTTCGTTATTATTGTTTTTGTTGTGAGGAGATCGGATTCCTATTAAATTGATATCAAAACACGATTTAAGACATGGTGCAAAAAAGTAGGTGCTTTAAAAGAGAAACTAGAAGAAGTTGGCCAACTCAAATATGAAGTTGAGGAACTGATTTTATCTATGGAAGGGAGGTTTTATAACCTAGAGGATATGGAGAAAATATTGGAGCTTCACACCCAACCGGCAACATCGGAGACTAGAGCATCAGTGGGTGGCCAAGGAAGTATGAGAAACCCCAATATCAACAAAATAGGGGATGATCGAGAGGTACAAATTTTGGTCGACATGGAAAATATGCCACCTCTTGAACCGATAACCAGGAGGGAGATGGGTGAAGGATATGGCGCGAGGAGAAATTGGGAGGAAGAAATGAGGAGAGGTGATTTTAAGGAAGAGGATATTTACGAAAGAAGGAGAGGTGGTAGAGAACAATGGAGAAATCATAACAATCACCACATGGGAGGAGCCAGAGGTGGAAGAGGAAGTTGGGGCGGAGGGGATACCAGAGTAAGAAAACTGAATATGCTTATTTTTTAGGAAGAATATGCTCATGGGTGGATCTATAGGGTGGAGAGGTACTTCTTGATGAATGTGCTGGCGAAGGAGAAGAGACTCACAGTGGCAGTTTCATGCTTGGAGGGGAGGGCCTTATCTTAGTATCAGTGGAGAGACATGAGAGATCCAATCCGATCATGGAATGTGTTTAAAGAAAGTTTATTAGAATGTCAAACCAGTCGAGAAGGAGACTTCTACGAGCAATTCTTTGCTCTGGTTTAGGAAGGGACAATGATGGATTATCGAGAGAGGTTTGAGTACCTTTCTAGCTGATTGGAGAGGTTATTTGAGACAAAGGGGAATTTCATGAAGGGGTTCAAGCTAGAGATCATGGTCGTTGTCTGGTTATTGAGGCCACGAGGATTGGGGGAGGCTATGGAGCTAACCCAGTTGGTAAGGACAAAAACTCGCATGAGAGAAGCATCAAGGGCAGCAATTCGAGAGTTTCATAACGGACGAGGACTACTTCTTTGGCATGAAAGGTACAACTTAGGCCCATTTAGAAAGAAGTACCAATGATTAGGGGAATAAGAGCACAGTCGAGGGAAATTTCAAGAAGATGACCAAGGCAGAGGCTCGGGAGAAGTAGGCTAGGGGGTTGTATTTCTGTTGTGAAGACAAGTTTACATAGGGCCACTGCTGCAAGGACTGTTTTCTGCAGGTACTTATAGTCTATGATGAGGAGGAGACACTAGAGGAAGAAGTGGCTCAAGAAGAGGAACATTTGCACCAAGATGCGGCATAGGTCTCCATGAACTCAATGGTGGGGTTTACCTCAAATCACATCATGAAAGTGAGGGGAAAGATACGAGGAGAATCAGTGGAAGTTCTAGTAAATAATGGGGTAACCCACAATTTCATCTCCAACCAAGTGGTGGACCAGTTGGGGCTAAAGTTGGTCGACACTGGCTATTTTGGTGTGATGATTGAAATGAGGAAGGTGGAGAATAGTAGAGGCATCTGCCCAGATCTAATGGTGACACTACAGGAGATCTAGGTGAGGGCGGATTTTCTTTCCTTGGAGTTAGGGAGCACAGATGCAATTTTGGACAAAAATTAGTTGTAGACCCTGGGGGAGACCAAGGTGGATTGGAAGGCATTAACTATCAAATTGAGATGAGATGAACTTTTCTCCTCCTACTAGAAGAATGTCTATTATTATCCAAAATACTATTTTTGCGCCTACCTCTTTCATAGCTTTAAAACTCAAGATTACAGTATTGATTGAGTTTTACAAAATGAGAAATAATTGTGAATCAATTTCATCTATTTTTAGTCTAAATTTGAAAAAGTATTCATGTAATCGACCCCACATAGTGGGATAGAGACTTGATGTTGTTGTTAGTCCAAATTAATCATTCATAAAGCATATGAGAAAAAAAAATGTAATTGGATAACCTACGCTATCCCTCTTAAAGTTTAATTGTTATCATTTAATTACCAATCAAAGCCATCTTATACAAGGAAGATATCATCAATCATCTATGCATTTAATTCCAAGTCATTTTAAACTCTCCATCCTTTAAAATCGTAATTATATTCTTATACAACCATGGTCAATCTGATGTATGACTACTTGGATAGGCAAATATATTAACTTGAAATTACACGCTTTATGACAAAGCAACAGCAATTATTCAACTTCTTATGGATTAAACAACATATTGAAGACAATAAAGCAATGATTAGGCGTAGGCAATTGATTACAAGATAAAATTTGAAGCACAAAATAATCAAAGTAAATCCGATTTTGCTTAACGTGGGGTTTCAAAAGAAATCTCTTAATTAACAATAAGACTAGTCACTATTAAGATCCCTCACTCACACTCTTAATAATTGGTTAGGCGGAGAAAGCTTGCAAATGATCCCACAATGGAGGAAAACTTAGAAGGAATAAGATTCATGAGAGTTCACCTTTGTCAGGATTCGGAAGATAGTTGCCACTGAACGGAAGGTTGTTGTTGATCAATAGCGGTTGCAAGGGAGAAGAGGATTCTTTCCACGTAATCTTCGACGGAGTGGTTGTTTTCAAGATCTATATCGAAAAAAGGAGATCGAAGAATGTTGATTAATCCTTGATCGTCAAAAAGGAAGTCGTGATCATGCTCCGGATCAGCCATTCATGAGTGGACAGCAAATTAACTTGTGCTGGAAACTCCAGATAGCAAGCTGGAACGTTCCGGGCAGCAACTTAGAGGGTCTGGACAGCGGGACAACAAGTTTATGCTTGCTGAAATTTCTGGACAACAATATTAAAATGTCCAGGAAATCTGGACACAGCTTTGGAAGGCTAAAATCTTGGAGTATAAGGTATGTAGGAAGGGAGCACTTAAGGAAACCATAAAAGGGGCAAGGGGAAGGGGGCGACTAGCCATGATTGGGGTGAGATTGTTGATTTAATAGAGTTGTCAATCATGATCTCTCAATTAAGGAGATAAGAATTAAATCAAATATATAAATTTGGAACTAATTTGGAGTAATTGATTGAGAAACTAAATTGAAAGGAGCAAAAAAGGGGAAAGGGGAGAGGAAGGGGCCAGCCCCTTTAATGGGTGATTTGATTGGGACCTAAAGAGGTTACCAATCTTGGCCAACTTGATTAGGAAAAGAGATTTTATTACAAATCTCTCCTTCCTAATTCAAATTAAATGTGGATTGAATAAGGAAACTTTCCAAAATTAATTCATCTAGCAAATAGAAAGAATTTTCAAAATTCAAATTAACTTGAATGGAGGACTTCACTAAATTAAATCATCTTATTTAAGGAAGGGAATTTCAGATTTTGGAATGATTTGAAATCTGAATTTAAACCTTCCAAAAATATTATGAGGTATCTTTGGAAAGTAAAAATAGAAGGTGAAAAGTTTGGGGGTCAAGGGGAGGAAGGGTGGCCGGCGGCTAGATGGTGGGTCTTGACCGGCGGTTAAGGGGAGGGGATGTTTGGCCGGCGGTTTTAGGAGAGTTGGTCGGCGGCTTGGGAAAGAGGGGAGGGGTGGCAGTTGGGAGTAGAAGGGGGAGGCCGACGGCTAGGGGAAAGAGGCCAGGGGGGCGATGGCTAGAGAAAAGGGCAAGGAGAAGTTGGAGAAGAAAAAGACCACGAGCCCGGACACTTCCTGCCACTGGTGGGTAATTTTTTGCGCTCATTTAGGGACTTCACCAAAGTTCTCACAAGAACCCTCAAAACTCACAAAGAAACAAAGTGCTGAAAATTTATAATAATAATCATCATCCCCTTCAAAGAAGATGAGGGGTTATAAATAGCCAAAATACAATAAAAAAATCCATAAGACAAGAGTGCCCCTGGGGTCACATGAACCTACTCCCTCAAGTGGGGGTAAAATCAGAAAAGATACAATAATAAATCAAATATAAATAATAGCTCAGAAATACAGCGGTGTAATCATGGTCGTAGATCTCCGGCCTCTTCTCTGATAAACTCTCCACTATCGGATATCCTCATCACAACCATTATGACATTTTTTTATGCATCAAAATAATGATCAAACAAAATTTTGAAATTGTGCATCCCACTAGATTTAATGATGTATAAGAGAATGAGCAATTTTTATTGGGATTTTAAAAATCTAAATGGGAGAAGAATCCTTCAATAAAACAGCAATACGCAATTTGGATGATTTATCCATAAGTCATGTGCAATTCGGACTTCAGAAAACCAATCTTTCTGCATAACCGATAATCAAATTTATATGGAAGAAGGATGACAACATCATAAAGTAGAGAGAAAAATAAAAATAGAAGGCTGATGAAGTGTAGATTGCTTCAAACTAAAAAAAAAAATATTGATGAAAGTATTAAGCGTACTTGAGGTGGCCTCTTGTTCAACCTCAGGCCAACAGCTTCCAACTCACTTGTCAAAATTTGACGATGTCCCTCACTCTGAAAAAACATAGCCGCATAGCATGCACATCAAAATACAAATTTGCATTATACTCGATCAAAATCAAAAGAAGGGCTAAACAAGAAAATGCAAAAAAATTTACGATAAACATCATCTTCAGTAGAAATGTGTCATTTCAAACGCAGAGCTACCAAGCAACTTAGTGTACTTAATGGGTCCTAAAGCAATCACGATTCTGTCAAAACAAAAATGACAAAAGCAAGACAATTTCTGACAGTTGCCCACTTGTTCAAGGTAGATGACAGTTAAAAAACTTGCAATATTTGCAACCGTAACATAACAAAAGACAGCAGGCAAGGTTTGACAAGTATAAATGCGAGTATGGTTAGAGTAGGAACAGGAAAAGTAAAATGTACTTTAAAAGGATGGGATTATACAACAAAAGCTAACAATATTTAGCAGTTTGTACTAAGCTTATGGTGTCACTAAGCTATTCTCAAGCCTTCCATCAATATCTGGAAAATATTCAGCGTGTAAGCGCAAAATTCCCATCTTAGAATGCCAGTAACTAGAACTTTTGTCAAATAACTTGATCAGAAAAGCCATCTCAAGAACACTGAACCACGTAACCTGGATCAGTCAAAAAAAAAACTTATTTTTATTTATTTCAATAGCTTTGGGCCACAATTGCTGCTTCTCTTATTGGAAAACCTAGCAGTATCATCATCAGGCCACGGAATGCAGCAAGGAAGGTTTGAGCAGCCTGAACCTTTAGTCTCCCACATCCTCCTCCCCACAATCTAGTACCTCTATCAATACCAGAATGATGCATAGTTCACAGCTGGTCATCGGTATCATCGGCATCAGGTTTACCATAACTGAATGAGGAAAGAAAGATTGAATAGCCTAAACCTTTAGTCTCCCACGCCCTTCATCGCCACAATCTAGTAATCTATCAGTATCGAATGCAGTATAGTTCATCAGCTGGTTGTCGACCTCCCTTCCTACCTCATTGATAATTGCTCTTGGTTTGGTTGTGCTTCATGAGTTTGGATGTTATATGATGAAGTATGGACACGATAAAAGAGTATGAGTACAGCATACAATAGGGGAAAAAGTATATATAAATATTTAGATCTCCACATATCATCATCATGATAATTAGTCAAATCCCAAATAGTCTTCGATGAGTTTGGATGTTTTGTGATGAAGTATGGACATGACTATTAGGTATAGAGCAGGGTACAATTCTGTAAAAAACTAAATATATTAAAAATAAATATCAATATTTACAGCTCCACATATCATTATCATCATCATGAGCCTTACCCCAAGGATTTTGGGGCCAGCTTTATGAATCCTAATTGCCCATTTGTTCCTTCTTAATATTGCATAAGGCTTGTGGACTGAGAAAATTAGCCCTGTAAGCATCTCATTCATAATTTGCATGGAAAAATCCTATACCTTAAGACATGCTAAATCAATTAGCGTATGAGAGTACAAAATAATTAATTAGATAATTTCCCTAAATTTTGAAGGATTAAGATTGTATATAATATTTAAATCATGTTATATGGTGTCATAAAGTATTTGAGAGCATCCATGTTTTTGAAAGTAAAAGATATGGAAACAGAATCCCTTTAAAATTTTCATGCTTCATACACTGAACACGGCCTTGGACTATAAAATTTTCATGATTCATACGTTGAACATGGTATTTGGATTCTAGAGTTGTATTAACTGATGCAGAGATGCTACTCTGGTGTGGGATTTTGAACAGAGGGCAAAACTTAATGCTCATCTAACGGATCAAGGATGAGCATCACTTTTGATGGCATTAGCACAATAGCCCCAATGATGTGACACAAAATTTGAATCTTTAGTTTACCCAGAACAAGTGAATTTTATATCTTTTGGACCACATTGAAACTTACATAATGCTCATCTAACGGATCAAGGATAAGCATCACTTTTGATGGCATTAGCACAATAGCTCCAATGATGATGACACAAAATTTGAATCTTTGATTTACCCAAAATAAGTGAATTTTATATCATTTGGCATTGAGACTTACATTGATTATAAGAAAGCTAAAACTCTTACACAGAAGATTGTGAGCTAAGCAAATGTTACAATTTTTTATGATTATTAGCAGGCTTGCTACTAAAGAATTAAAAAGGAAGATATAAAAGATCTGAGGTCATGGATGTGAGATTTAAAAACTTTGATCAAGTTGGATGCATTAGCAGAAAATATAACAGGATAGTTAGATATCATAATATTATCAATTAAAAAATTATTAGAAAGAAGCACAATGAATAAAATAAAAAGATGTATTGATTGATCCAAAAAAGGGATATGTAAAATTGTAGAGTGAAGAAATAAGAGATTTAGAGATTTCAATCATGGTTGAAGAATTAAAAGTGAAGATAATATTATTTTAATTAAAGAAAACAAGAAGGTAAGATGAAAGATTATACTTTGAGACATTATGAAATGGGTGTTTTAAAAAAAAAAATACTTAAAAAGATCATAATGAACAAAATAATAAGGTACAATTATCAATTGATCTAAAAAATTAAAATGCTGTTAGCTTTAGGTCTCAATGACTTAATAATGCTTATATTCAAATCATTAAAGATACGTAGGCAGGAGCTATTACTTGTGTTCAAACACAGGGTAGTTTGACCAAGTATTTCTCTATTTCGATGGGATTACATCAACGAACAGCTTTAAGCCCATATCTTTTTTCTTTAGTCATGCATGGATGTTCTCACCAGACATTTGCAAGAGGATGTACCTTAGTGTATTCTTTTTGCTGATGATATTTTTCTTGTTGATAAGACTAAAGATGGAGTTGAAGGTAAACTTGAATTATGGAGGTCAACCTTAGAGTCTAAAGGTTTTCGCTTGAGTAGATCTAAAACAGAATATATGGAGTTTAATTTTAATAGTAATAGACCTAGTGAGGGGATTGTGACTTTGGGCAATCAAGTTATATATGTGGTTGCTCGCCGCATTGCAAGCACCAAGAATAGAGTTTGGATTATACATTTGCAATTGCATCGACAGAGGCGGTGTTGGGATGACGGCACAACAATCGGGTTTAGGGTTTTTTTTCATTTTTTTTATTTTTTATTTTTTTTATTTTTCCTCTTTCTTTTTTTCTTTCTTTTTTTATTTTCTTTTTTTGTACCTTTTTCTCTTTTCGTTTTTTGTATCTTTTTCGCTTTTCTTTTTTTCTTTCCCTTCTTTTATTGTAATAATAATTACAATTATAACTATTATTATTATAATTATAGTTAATAAATTATTATTATTATTATTATTACTAATAATTATAATAATTGTTAACTAATAATATTAACATAATAATAATTTTACCCTCGTCTTTTTATTGGCTTACAGGATCAGATCAGAGGGCTAAGAATAGAGGCGTCAACTAGAGAGCTCGATTCCTGCTTGCAGAGAGACAGAAGAGCTGCGATAGGATGTCATGAAGTTCGGAAGTTTAAAGGTTTAGAAATTTGAGAATTTGAATGATTGATATTTGGAATTCTGAAGGTTTTGATATTTAAAATAGAAATTTCACCATCTTGCACTTAAAGTGATGGTGGGGGAATGGATGATGGACCCGATCAAGATCCCATTGTTCCGTCATCCCGAGCCATTGTGGTCCCTGGTCTACTTAGTCAGAGGAGGCAGTCGACCCAACCTGACAGAAGGATCCTTGTCGGCAACCATGAGTTGCTTCGTTCAAGGGTATCTTGTAGACCTGGGATGAATGTTTGTCTAAGGGGACAAATTTGAATCCACCTTAGCTAACAGAGGGTTTTGTACCCTATCGATTATATCCTATTGATTCATATCCCAAGGATTTGATATCACTAAGGAACGTATTGGCTCTGGCCATAACTGGTATTTCATTGTACCATTTGGCAGCAAAACCACTCAGTTCAGAGAGTCTGGGTCATAACCATTTATCCTGCGGTACCATTTGGCGGCAAAACCGCCGGTTAGAGGACACGTACCACGTTCTTACTGGCAGGAGATTATTTGAGAATGGATCCTAGTGATATTTTCGAGTAGGCATTTGGCTCTATGTGAGCTAAAGTATTTCAATTTGTCCACTTCGACAAACGGTTGCGGATGATAGATAGATTTTGCTTTAAGTATTCGGATGATTGAATTTATTTCAAATTTTAAATATTTTTGGATTTTGTAATTTTTTAGATTTTCTAGGATTTTTATGAGTATTTGGGTGGAGTTTTGAATGTTGGAATGAACCCCTCCGGTTGAGATTTACATTCAACACGGCCATCATTGGGGTGTAAGGGGTCATTTCTATTTAAAGCTTGAACCTTATCGACCATATCAATTTGCCGATAGGGGATCGGATTTCGTATGATTTATGTCTTTATTAGTGATTTCTTTTTATTATAGGCCTTGAAGGTCTAATATGAATGTATTAAATAAATATGCTGGTCGTCACAATCGTATATTTATTTGATGATTTGAACCTTGTCGACTCCTATTGATCCGTATAGAAGGATCGGATTCGAACTTGAATTCACTTATTGACCTGCGTAGCATCCCTAGACGTCACATGTGTTCCCACAACATGCTCTTCGGGGCCCATGCAGGTGTTTGGGGGCATTTAATGATTATTTGTCGAACCTTGTCGACTCCTACTTACCTGCTTAGAAGAATCGGGTTAAAATTTATTGACCCGCGTAGCATCCCTAGACATCACGTGTGTTACACTTACCCCTTTGTGTACTTATGTATATACAAACTACAATGCATGTGCAAGGGCATTCTTGAAATATTTGTAAACGCCTTCTGTCCGCTTGCATAAATGTTGCGGATCCGGTGGCGTGGTGTTGTAGATTGTAGACGCCTTCTGTCTACTTGTAAAAGTGTTGCAGATTCGGTGGTGTGGCGTTGTAGATTCTAAACGTCTTTTGTCTGCTTGTAAAAGTGTTGCAGATTCGGTGGCGTGGCATAGCAACTTTCAAATTGAGTTGTTTGCTGCTT